ATAGGAAACAGCCAGTCGCCGAAGCATTTTAGCATTTATAGGTAAATGTTAAGCAATGAATAATTCATTTTACACATAGTACGTTTCTCTGTTTTATAAAGGAAAATATAAAACTCTTTTTTTTTATCACTGACCTACCCTTTCTCGTTTACTCACATCAAAAGAAAAGCTTCGTAAATTTGTCACGCACAGACAGAGGGAAACAGCAGTTCATCTAACTGGTGAACTTGTCCAGGTGGAAGATAAAACTGTGAAGGGAAGGGATTTTAAAATAACTAAGGGCTAAAAAGGGTAGGAAGTTGTGAAGTGCAATTATTACCAAAGCTCTGAAATGACGCGGTGCATAGACGAAGATCTGCTGCCAGTTTCCAGATAGCTTCATGAATTCTATCCTGGTCAACTGTTTTCTTCCAGAGAACAGATTTATAATTATTTTGTACAGACAATAAATACTATCAAGGATTAGCAAATAAAAGACAAATAAAAATGCAGAATGGAATTACAATGACAGACATATTAGAGAAAGAAAAAAAAACTTCTTCAAACCGGGAGCGATTATATTGGAGGACTCTTCCATGACGAAAGAGTACAACCAGCAACACTCAGGACTACTGACGGACCTGAAATTTTAAAAAACAAACTAGAAGCTGCACGGGCTAATTTAAACAGAAATAACGTGGCAGGGCCAGACGGAATTTTAACAGAAATGCTGATAGAATTAGATGAATTTGGCATAGACATGATCACAGAAATAATAAATAAAATCTACAACAGCAGAAATATACCGGAAGTTCTCAGCAGGTCTATTTTCAGAGCACTGCCTCAGAAACCAGACGCAAACGAATGTGAACACCACCGAACAATCACCCTAATGAGCCAGAGAACAAAATTCATATTGTTGTGGATTCCGGGATGAAATCCGGTCTCCAATGAATGACAAACGCAGGAATGAAATATAGCAAATAAATGTATTTACACAATAATACAATTGGTAATACGGTTAGTAAATCCAGAAACGCGGTTAGTAGCAATAATAATATATATACACAGTCTGGTAAATCCAGTCTTGAAGTAGGACATCCTTCTGAGTCGACGTGCTCGCAACTGTGACTCCTACAAAGCGGTTACTTCACTCTCTCACTGTATCAGTGTATCTCTCGTCTAACACCCGGACATTCACCGGCAGCAGTACAAGTACACACTGGTCGAGTCCACTTGTATGAAAAAGGGGTGGAACCCATACCACATATTCTGAGGAATAGAGCATGCAGCAGAATCAGACACGGGAACAAGGAACGTGATATTCATGCTCAGAATGTTATCAGAAAGAGCAATACAAATGCAGAAGGACGTGCATATATATTTTATAGATTACGCAAAGGCGTTCGACAAAGTACTCAACAAGGTTCTGTTCGAACTGCTCAGCAACCTCGATATATTTTGGAAAAATATTAGAATAATCAAGAAACTATACTGGCAGCAAACAGCATGCATGCGCATAGCGAACAAGTTCAGCGGATATACAAATATAGAAAGGGGCGTAAGGCAAGGATGTGTCTTCTCACCGGACTTATTCAAACTATACAGAGAGGCAATTCTGAGAGAATTAGAAATCTTAAAATCCCACCAGGACGCCTACAATCTTAACAACATAAGAAACGCATATGACAGAGTACTGATAGCGGACAAGGAAAAGAAATTACAAAAGCACCTACAGGAGGTAGCGAATGAGAGCGAAGAGGTGGGACTAAACATAAACTATAAGAAGACAGAATGCATGGTCAACTGTAAAACTATGAGTCCAAGATTCGATTTGCAGGTTGAGAACACTAAAATCAAGTAGATGCGGAAGTTTAAATATCTGAGAATTTTTTAACTGAGGACGATAAGTGCCACACTGAGATCCCAAGACATACTGGGATAGACAATGACGCATTCCAAAAAAGTTGTTACGTGATAGATTACCTGCTTTACGGTAGAGAATGTTGGACGGTCTCCTCAAAGATGAAAAAGAGACTTAAGGCAACGGGGATATGGCTCTATAGAAAGATGCTGAGGGTATCATGAACCAAGAGTGTGTGCAACAATAAGGTTTTGGAGAGGAAGCAACCAAGGAGGAAGCTTATATTTAACATCAGAAAGAGGCAGATTATATTCCTGGGACACGTAATGTGAATGGATGGGATGGAGAATCTGATACTCACAGATCGAATAGAGAGAAGAAGAGACGAGGGAAAGCAACGAATGTCATACCTGGCGGGCTTAAGCAAGTGGATGACAGAATATGGTCTGGAGGACGTGGCTGACAAACGGAACTTACTGAGCGCTACAAGGGATAGGGGAAGTGGAGAGCCATGATCCTGAAGGGATACGGTAGATAAAAAGACAATGAATACTATTTACCCGATCTCTTAAATAATTGCGAATAATTTAGTCAATTGTTGTGTTTGTTCATCTAATTAGAGCCACTATTAACGAATCGATCATTTAGTCCGGTTATCCATGGCGGCACGTTTCTTTTCATGACAGACAAATAACAATTTCTTTAAATATATCTTATCAGATGAGGGGGGATTTGTTTAACGGCATATCAACTCTTTATGGGTCATTTAATGCCGAAATTTATTTTTTCTTGGGAGCTTTCAAATAATAAAATTATGATATACGTTATTCTGTATATTTCACAACTGAATACTTGGTAGATAATTCTCAGCTTTACTCTATGCACATGTTTGTGAGGATATAATTATTAGAGGCGTTGATATGTCTTTCATGCTGCAGTTTTGTTGAAATTATATTTTGGAATACAGTTTCATTTAAGAAATTGTCGGATATTATATGGCTTAATATCATGCATGTGTTTTTCATGTTCCGTATTTGGGTGATTAATTGATTTTGCTTAACGGCATCAACCTCTATAGTAATGTGAGCGAATATATTATGAACGCAATTGTGTTTAACTACATATAAAATACATTAATATTTATGTCGATTTAAAATGTACTGTATTTAATTTTTCTCTTTACATAAAAATGTATTGCTGATATTTTACTATGTAAATGGTATTTTATAGTTTCAGAGTTTGTTTTTTGGGGGTTTTTTTGTAGGCTCACTATTTGCCCATATCTGGGACCCTAACTGGTGCTACCACTAATAAAATAAAGGCTATGTAGTATGCGTGAAAATATAATTAATCTAGGTTTGATTTTAAAACTTTTTAAAATTCTATATTTTCTAAAATCTTCTGAAATGCTTGATGATTTTATTTCTTTAGGGGTTATTTTAAAATTTTCATCATGAGCTAAAGACATGGCTTAATCAAGATAGATCATGTCATGCCCTTAGCTATAAAGACATCTAATTGTCTTTCCTTTTATCTGGTGCAGTTTTTTGTTTGAGATGATGTAACGCCAAGCAACGAGGGCAGATGAATTGTGTGTTACGAACAGATCAATAGACTTCACGTGATCAAAGCCATTTTTAAGTTTTGCTATTAGAAAGCAGTTGTATACTGGGTGCGATGGATAAATTGCCACATTTTAGTTTTGCGCATGCACATTGTTTATTTTCAACTTTATACATTGCACAGTATAGTAAGGTCAGTTGGGCACCGTGTGTTAAGAAAAAGAGAACTATGACGTAATTCACTCCGCCAGCAATTTAGAATGCATGCTGTACTGCTTGACAATCGCGCCGGAAGTTACAATGCGAAACTTTTAGAGTGCTTGGTTGTGAATCGGAGGACAGTGCAGCGGATACGAAAAAAGATGGATGATTTTGATGGTGATTATGATTTTGGCGGGATAACTAGTGATGGTGACATTAGTATTCCGTTCACCTTCCCACGGTGTCTCAGACTCAAGTGCGGAGGCGTACATCGAGCACTTTGAGTATGCAGTGTTGCCCTGACTTAAGAGTGTGTCTGCTGAAAGGCCGTATATCTAGCAACATGATTCTACACTATGCCACACAAGCAGGAGAACTAGTCTTGGTTGTCAGACAATTTCTGCGGCCATATCACACCGTATATCTGTCCACATAATGCCCCAGACTGACAGTCCCTTGATTATTATATTTGGGGTACAGTTAAGCGGGTGACCAACATAACACCTTTTAACACCAAAGATCAACTGCAGGTAGAGATTATGGCAGCAAATAAAACAAGGAAACAGTCCAGAAGTGTTGAAGCAGATTCCGAAGTCGTTTGGACTTTGAGCTTTGAAACTAATGGCGATTTTATTGAATAAATTTACGCTTTCCTATCTCAAGATATTTTTGTGTATCTTCTGGTAAATATAAGTGTTAAAATGAGATTTTAGTGTCATTTTCAGTTGTTCGTAATTCATACGACAATTTATCCATCGCGCCCTGAAGTGCTGACATATTTTCGAACGAGTTTAGCACCATGCCTGACATCCATTTGAACGTCTCAATATAACGTGACTGTTATGAAGCGGGTTTTTAGGTTCATCTCTTGCGTATTTGGTGAAGCTGACCCTCATTAGAAATGATCAATATGCCGAGGTATTTGAAGTGTTTAGTATTTAATAATTCTACATTCAAATTATTTTTTTATTGATTTATGCTCCTCGCCATTACTGCTTTCATTCCAGTACCGATATCTGGTTAAAGTCATATTTCTTGCAAGACTTGGTAGATTATAGAGTTACGACTTCAAATTATCCGTCTTTTGACCCAAATAAAGGTTTAATATTTTAGAAGCAATTACCTGTCGTTCACAAATAATAAAGTCCATGTTCGTCATTGTCAAATCATGTGGTTACACAGTCATTTGTGTCTAACAATGAGTGTGGCTTTCTGAACCCGGGAATCAGTTAGGAAATGAGAAATAGGGTCTGCGGATCAGATTTGGAGCTGTGGATATTGAATCGGTTCGTTTTGGAGTAGATTCTAATATTAATATAAAACAGGCGAAATGATTTTTTGATTTTCTTCTTCGCCGTTATTTGGGATTGCAGAATCTAAAAATTACCTAGACATCAAGCGGATGGGTAGAGAAAAGAAGGCGAGGTACGAGAGAAAGAGGAAAAAACCCAGATAAAACACATAAAAGAGAAACAAAATAAGAAAAGCAAAGATAGAAAATAGAAAGTGAGGCAAAGATAGAAAAGGAAAGAGTGCCAATATAGAAAGGCTAAGAGGGGAAAAGATAAAAAGAGAAAGCGTGTCAAAGAGAGAAAAAAATTATAGAGGGAAAATATAGAGAGAAGGAAGAGATTAATAAATAGAAAGAGAAAGTGTGGCTAAGATAGAAAGGTATAATAAAGCAAGGATAGAGAAGAGAAGGAAAGCAAAGTTACCAAAGAGAAAGCGAGGCAAATAGTGAGGCAATGATAGAAAAGAGACAGAGGGGCAAAGATAGAAAATGGAAAATGAGAGAAAAATAGAGAAGAGGAAGTGAGACTTAGATAGACATGAGAGAGTGGAAAAGATAGAAAAGGATAAGAGAAGCAAAAATAGAAAAGGAAAGAGAGGATAAGATAGAAAGGGAAAGAGTGGAAGATAGAAAAGAGAAAGAGTGAAAATGGTAGAAAAGGGAAAGAGGGGGAAATATTGAAGAAAGAAAGAGAGGACAAGATAGAAAGAGAAAGAGTAGAAGATAGAAAAGAGAAAGTGTGATATTGGTAGAAAAGGGAAAGAGGGGGAATATAGAAAAAAGAAAAAGAAGACAAGATAGAAAGGGAAAGAGTAGAAGATAGAAAAGAGAAAGAGTGATATTGGTAGAAAAGGGAAAGAGGGGGAATATAGAAAAAATAAACAAGATAGAAGGACAAGATATAGAAAGGAAAAGAAAAAGAAGACAAGATAGAAAGAAGATAGAAAAGAGAAAGAGGGATAATGGTAGAAAAGGAAAGGGGAATATAGAAAAAGGGGGAAATATAGAAGAAAGAAAGAGATAGAAAAGAGAAGAAAGAGAAAGGAAGAGGGGGAATAAAAAATAAAAAAGGACAAGATAGAAAGGGAAAAGGATAGAAAAGAGAACGTGAGACAAAGACTGAAAAGGGAAAGAAATACAAAGAAAGTGAAAAGAGAAGCAAAGATAGAAAAGAGAATGAAAAACAAGCATACTAAGAGAGAAAGCGAGGCAAATAGAGAAAAGAGAATACTAACTAAAGGCACAAAACGGGAAGCTATAGAGAGGAAGAAATGTGGAACTCAGAAAAGAATGATAGGAATATGGAGAAACGTTAAAAAAGCCAATGACAAATTATAAAGAGAAATAACAGTGACAGTGGCAAGAGAGTCAACGATAAAACACCGAAGTGTTACAAATATAGGAAAAGAAATGTGAAACAAAGGTCAAAAAGAGATATGTGAAGATAATCGAAAAATATAGGGAAATAAAGGGTGCAAAGAGAAAGAGTAACAAGCACTGTAAAGCGAAAAAGAGACAGATATATATATATATATATATATATATATATATATATATATATATATATATATATATATATATATATATATATATATATATAGAGAGAGAGAGAGAGAGAGAGAGAGAGAGAGAGATGCAGAAATTACAAAAAGTAAATGATTCAAAAATAGAAAGAGAGTAGACGATTTAGTCGGGAAGAAATGATTAAAAGTAGTTGGAAAAAAAAATCCGCCATATTGTAGTTTGACCTGTTGGGAGCTAAACTAATATAAATGATTATGAATATATTGCATTTTGTTATATCAGATTTTATTATTCAAATCAAATTTGCTCACAATAAAATGGGTATGATCTTACCGATATTGGCAATATCTAACGATATAGCTGTATAAAAAATATGTCATTGAATTTCATCTTAAAACACCTATCATTATTAAAAATATTCATATTAAATTGAGGGTGTGATAAGTTTTATTATCCACAAAATTAAGTGAAACATGATGTTAATTTATACATGAATCCCAGAGATATGTCACAGGCCCAAGCTTATATATATACATATACATATATATATAATGTGTCATCATTTTTTTTTAACTTTCCATCTTAATATGGACGACATGACATTCTATAAATTCCATTAGTTGTTTCAATTTTTTTTAAAAATTCTACTGATTCAATTTTAATATTACTTGCAGCACTTTTTATTGCTTTTTAGATATCTTTGAAGATTTTTCGCTATTCTCATATACATCTTTTTATTGATGGATAACAAGTTTTCTATTGGATTAATATCTGAATACGCTGCCGGCTATTCTACTAAATTGGTATCATTTTTTTTGCACCGTTTGCAATAGCCAACTTCAGACAATATAACTGTACATTGTCTTTCATGAATCTAAAGTTTACCTTAAAAAATTTAGATTCTTACATTTACAGCTGTAACAAAATAGATGTAGTAAAACACATAAGTATATCTAATGTGTAAAAATGAAAGCATTTTCAAAATAGGTCAAGTGAGTTTTAAATTACACAATTAAAATTCAGAATAATGAGGTTATATATATATATATATATATATATATATATATATATATATATAT